AACTCAGGGCCTAAGAGCTGTCCATAAGCTTTTTTATTCAAATTCTACCACTTGAGCCACAGTTCTACTTCCAGCTTTTTGGTGGTTGATTGGATATAAGAATGTCACAACATTTTCTGCTCATGCTAACTTTGAGCCACAATCCTTAGATCTCAGCCGCCGGAGTAGCTAGGATTACAGATATGAGCCACCAATGCCCAGCCATCCAACTAGTTTTCTGGAGTACTTTCTATTAGAACATGCAGGTTCTAGGTGTGAGAAATAAAATATTTTTTCTTCTGACAGGGCTGACATCTCATATTCATGAGATAACTTCTCTTCCCCCAAATCAAAATCCTCATATCTTAGCCTTCTGAGTAGCTACCCATCCCCTACTTCATCTTTCTTGATGTATCCAGTATTGATAGAGTACAAGATTTAGTAGCTCCTTCAGACAGGACTGATAGGAGGTAAATAATTTGAAACCATGCATATCCAAAAATGTATGGCTCTATCCACACACTTGACTTGTTAGTTTGGCTGGGTATAAAATTCTAGGTTGGTAGAACAAGGATTCCTGCAAATGTTAAAGGCATTGATTTAATACTCTAACACTTCTGCCACTGCTGTTGAGAAGTCTGAAGCCTTTCTGATTATATAATGTGACCATTTCCTCCTCATTGTTTTGAAATCTACCTGGTGATAGGTTCCCTCCATCTGGAAACTTAAACTTTTTGTTCTGGGAAATTTTCTTGAATTAGTTTCACTGTTGGTTTCCTCTTTTTATTTTAAATTATTTTGTCGGTTGTGGGGCCTGAATTCTGAGCCTGGGTGCTGTCCCACAGCTCTTCAGCTCAAGGCTAGCACTCTACCACTTGAGCCACAATACCACTTTCAGCTTTTTCTGCTTAGGTGGTGCTGAGGAATCGAACCCAGGGTCTCATGCATGCAAGGCAAGCACTCTACACTCTACAACTGAGCCACCTTCCCAGTCCCATGATTTCCACTCTTTTGAGTTCTTTGTTCTTTCAGGAACTGATTTGTTCCTGTTTCAGATGTTGAACCAGCTTCTCTAGCTTCTGATCATTTTATTTTTGTTTACTATTTGGCACTGGCTGGTGTTTTTTGTTGTTGTTGTTGTTTTGTGCTGGTTGTGGCACTTGAACTCAGGAACTGGGTGCTGTTTCTGAGCTTTTGTTCTCAACTCTACTGCTCTACTACTTTGAGCAAGAGCTCTACTTCCAGTTTTTGGCAGTTCATTGGAGATAAGAGTCTCATGGACTTTCCTGCCCAGGCTAGCTTTGAACTGCAATCCTCAGATATCAGCCTCCTAAGTAACTAGAATTACATGTGTGAGCCACCAGTGCTCAGCCAATGCTGTTTTTTATTTTATTTCTATTTTTGTTGTTTTGGTTTTCTTTTCCTATGCTTTCAGAAAGATTTCTTCAATTTTTCTTTCCTCTACTGAGTCACTCATTTCAGCTATCATTTAATGAACTTAGAAGAGTTTTTTTTTTAATCCTCTATTTCATTTCTTATATAATCTTGTGCTTCTTTCATGAAAGTAATATCTTTTTTGGGGGTGGAGGGTCAGCTTTGGGACTTGAACTTCGGGCCTAGGAGCTGTCCTTGAGCTCTTTTGCTCAAGGATAGTGTTCTACCACTTGGAGCCACAGCACCACTTCTGGTTTTCTGGTGGTTATCTGAAGATAAGAGTCTTATGGACTTTCTTTCCTAGGCTGGCTTTGAACCATGACTCTCAGATCTCAGCCTTGTGAGTATCTAGTATTACATGTGTGAGCCATCCATGCCTAACTAGTATCTTCTTTCTCTGAGGATATTGTTGCCTGTTCTCTCAAAGTCTCATTCATTCATATTTCTTTTCCATTGCTGCTTTCTCTTTGCATTGGACCTTGACTTTCCTGTTGGAAGGGACAAGTAGTTTCATCCTGACTCTCTTGATAATATTCCTTCCTAATTCCCTTCATGAACGTGGATGCTTGTGGCAGGTAATGGCAGTAAGGAATACATCAGGCAGTATTGTGATCTTGGAGTTTATTAAAATGTGATGAAAACACCCTGGAAGGGTCCAACTTCTGAACAATAGGAGCCTATATGAATCTCCACATTCCCACACTAAAGCATGAAAGATTCTGCCACTCAGTAATCCCTGTGGTATTTTAAATATTCCTGAGATCCCTGGAGAACCCCAACTACTGGCACAGCATGCAGTAAAATGCATGGACCTATTATAAAAACTTCACTACTTCCTATTAACTGGAGAAAGCTGATACACATTCATTTAAAAAATCAGTTATTCTTCAGGCAGGAAAACATCTGGATTTTGCTAAGAGAAAGTTTTCAGAATCAATTTTAATGAACAAAATTGACTTATTTGTAGCTAATATAGTGTTTTAAATACTTGACGCATCTCAATTACTTGCAGGAAGTATGCATCTTATAGAGCTTTATCAAGCTGGCTACAGTGTAGCTTGGATTAATAATCATTCTATTCCTAGACCATTATCTCCACAAGTAGAAGAGTAAATAAAGGTCTCCTGATTTTTAGGACTTCATAAACCTTGCACTGGTGGAATTTGAGTTCCCCTGATGATACCTGAGAATCTGATAGGCTTCAGATGCTGAGTTGAGATCTGATGTTATTCTGGTAGCAAATGTTAGTTTAAAATGGGTCTCTCCTTCACGTTGAGGGCACATGCAAATTCTATGGTGAAAATGATGGTTCTTAGCCATGTGGCTATCTGCTAGAATGCTTGTGTTCTATAATCTCCATTTTCTCTGCATCACCTGATTTGGTTTGGTCCTGAAGCTGGAACTCAGGGTCGCACCATCCTACTTGGTTACTTATAATCAGTACTCTACTACTTGAGCCATGCTTCCAGTTCTGGCTTTTTGCTGGTTAAGTGAAAGTAGGAATCTCATGGACTTTTCTGTCCAGGTAAGCTTGGAACCATGGATCTTCAGATCTCAGACTCCTGAGTAGCTAGGATTACAGGCGTGAGCTACTGATACCGGCCTGATTAGTTTTATAGGGAAATTCAAGGAACACATGACCTAGACTTCATTTCAAATTACCTAAAAGATCAATAAATCACAGCAAGGGCCAAAAATGTGAAGAGTATAATCTGTTGTTATAACACAGGACTGAGAGAAACTAAATGTCCTGCCAACTGCAATCTCTCGTATTGTTTTGAGGGAAGGCCACTTTCTATTATCAGAAGGAGATAAGGGATGGCAGCACACATTTCTCATTCAAAATAGACTGCTAATTTAGTTGGGAATGAATGAATGCCATCATGTGGTCAGTTTGTTTTCTAAAGTCACAGTTCCATGTCAGAGTAATTTCAAATGAGGTTCCAATGGGTTGTAAATATTTTATCTAAGGTAAGGAGACAATTTTATAACTTGAATTCTTGGTGTTGTTATGTTTCTGCTTTGTTTTGGTCCCAGTATTGAGGTTTGACCTCAGAACCTGGATACTATACCTTAGCTTTTTCACTCAAGGCTAGTGGTCTACCACTTAGGCCATAGCTCTATTTCTAGCTTTATGCTAGTTATCTGGACTTTCCTACCGATGCTGGCTTTGAGCCATGATCCTCAGCCTCTTGAGTAGCTAGAATTACATGCATAAGCCACCAGTGCCAGGCTAACTTTGGCCCATTTCTTGGACCCCTTCTCTCTCTTATCCTCAGACCCTTGTCACTCTAAAGCCTCATCAGATTCATGTCTCGGTACAAATGCCACTGCTTTCAGGGGTCATCTGTGACCCTCCTCTGACCAGGTTGAACCCCATGTGACATCATACATGACACTGACTGTCCACCTCAGCCCTGATCATTTTTCTAATGCCTGGATAGACTTAAGCTCCAAAGGGGATAGGACTTTGTTTATACTGACCACATATCATCACTGCCAAGTCGGGCCTGGCACCTGACACTCAACAAATGCTTATGGAAGGCATGGATCCCTCTGAAATATTAAGGTTAAATTCAAAGTTGCCTTCTCTGTTCACTGGTATTCTCAATTCGTATATACCTTAGCTGATTTTTCTATTTAGGATGGTTTTTTTTTCTTTTGTAGTACTAGGATTTGAACTTAGGACTTTCCAGGCTAAGCAGGAGCTCTACCTCTTGAGCCATACCTCTAGGCCTTTTTTATTTCATTGTTTGAATAAGGTCTTGCTTTTATGTTCATTCCAGTCTGGTCCATGATCCTCCTATTTTTCATTTCTGGTGTAGCTAGGATGATAGCACATGCCACCACATCTAATTTTTATTGGTTAAGATGTGGTCTCCTGCCTGAGCTGGCCTTGAACCATGCTCCTCCTGATCCCAGCCTCCAGGGTAACAGGAATTACAGCTGTGACTCACTGTACCTGGCTTTTAAGATTTTTCTTTAATGGCGGGGAGGATTGGGGGGGGGTGGGGGGAGGATGGGAATGGATGGGAAGGGGAAACAAAGGAGGAGGCTACAATGCTTGATAAGAAATGTACTCATTACCTTGCCCATGTAATTGTAACCCCTCTGTACAGTACTTTCACAATAAAAAAAAAAGATTTTTCTTTAATGGGAGCAAAAACATGCAATTTAAACTCAAGACTGAAAGGCAGAATCAGAACTCTGGGCCCTCCCAAATAATACTTTAGCCTGTTTTCATTAAGTAGTAGTCATTGCTGAAAGGTTAATAACATTAAGAGATGGTAACATTAATTGAGAACTAACTCAGGGCCATAGCTATCAAGGAGACCAGGTTTGGGAGAAATTGGGACCTTTGCTTAGATCTCCACAGCTAGTAACTGGTAGTTATAGTCACAAAGGTGACTTAACCCAAGACATGCTCTGCATGCTGGCAGACCTGCATGTCTACAAACCACAGATGCAAGGGAGACCCACCTTTAATTGCAAGCAAAAGGTTTCTAAACCCACATCTCAGCTCCTTTCCCCCTGGTTCCTAGAGTAAGTTGTTCCCAAGCTATATCTTATGAAATTAGTGTTCCTACCGGAAGAAAGAGTCTCTGGGCAGCACAGGGTTTGAATAATTTCTTCCATTCCTGAGGGTTTCCAACAGAAAATGTGATGGGGTAGATTTTGTGCTCAAATTTCTTTGTATATGAGTCGGGCCACTGTCGTAACTGAAAGACATGGAAGGCAAGGGTAATTAGACACTGTAAGAAATATGGAAGACAGCCCGGGCTTCTTGGATGACCCACAGGAAATGGCTTAGGCATTTCCACAGGAAGTCTAACTCCATCATTAGTTGCAAGCTTTACCTTTTCTCCTGTGAATCTTGCTAGGATTTAACACAAATAGCACTCCGAGTTGGCAGGTGGGAGACTGGGCACAAACACTGGAAGCATGGAATCAAAGGATCAGCCAGGAAGGCAACTTAAAAACTGGTCCCCACAAGCCCCAAGAAATAAAGGTGCAGGGATCGTCTCCACAGCCTTGTTTTCAGTAATGAGGAGCCATGTAAATGATACACACACACACACACACACACACACACACACTCAAGACCTTGCTGCTCTGTGTCTGCCTTTGGGCCTCACCATCCCCTGGTTCCCTGGGCAGTACAGAAGCACAGATCAGATGAACCTGAGTTCTCTCTTTGTTGTTGTTGTTGTTGGTCATAGGGCTTGAACTCAGGGCTTAGGTTCTGTCCCTAAGCTTTTGTGCTCAAGGCTAGCAGTCTACCACTTTGAGCCACAGTTCCACTTTCTCTAGTGGTTAATTAGATGAGTCTCATGGATTTTACTGCCTGGGGTTGGCTTTAAAATGTGATTCTCAGGTCTCAGCCTTCTGAAGCTTGACTTGACCAGAGCTGTCAGACGATGCGTTTCTTCTTCTTTTCTACCTGAGATGACAAAAATAACTACATCTTTAAACTAAAGTACCCACGCAATAGACAGCAGGTAGCACCCAACACATCAGGCTTAGGCAACTAAGCCACACAAAACCCCACAAATGAAGAACTCCCCGGAACCTCAGCCTCCAGAGGAATCAGGATGGCAATTGACACTTTGTTTTGTTGGGCTAAAACTGTAGCCCTGGGATACACCCACACTGCTGCAGTGTTGGGTGACAGCCTGAAATGGGTGACATCACCTGACTCATAGCAGCCTCGGCAGCAGCTTGCCAGGAGCCAGCAAAGCACCCAACAGAGAGGAGCCGCTCCTCTGAATCTTTGCAGCAGGAAAGAAGAAACACATTTTCTTTGTTTTGCCAGTCCTGGGGCTTGAACTCATGGCCTGGGCACTGTCCCTGAGCTTCTTTTGCTCAAAGCTAGCACTCTACCACTTGAACTTCACTTCCAGCTTTTTCTGTGTATGTGGTACTGAGGAACCGAACCCAGGGCTTCATGCATGCTAGGCAAGCACTCTACCACTAAGCCACATTCCCAGCCCCAAGAAACACATTTCTGACTGAGTCCCACAGTCTCACTGAAACCACACAAGAAGAATGATTTGCCCTATGACCCAGATGACAAAACAGGCTGAGAAGGGTTGTATGTCTTAAGCAAGCCCTATAATCCTTGCTTTCTAGCTCTCTGTGATTTAGCCTTGCTCTGCCAAATGTGTTGTTTTTGGCGTTTCTCCTGAGGGTGACTAGCTGGTGACCTGGCCCGGCACTGTTGGCCCAGGTCAGTTGAAACAACAGAATGCAGGTTGTCTCTCTGCCAGCATTGGATAGCTAAGCAATGGCTTGGCTTGCTGGGCCAAGGTCACACATGGACCTCCATGGCGGGCAGAGGCCTTATCTCAGCTCTCCTTGTCCACTGGAAAAACTCAAGATGGGAATAGCCAAGCACATGCTGACCTGGTTATAGAACAGATGGTGGCTCTGTAGTTAGTCACCAAGACAGGACAAGTCACTCAGCAAGAATGTCCAGTGCTGACCGGGAAAATAGCATGACCAAATGGTTTTCAGACTAGAAAAGCAAGCCCCACAAGCTCTAGAGCAGAAACTTAATTTTGCAAAAGAAATACGTTTCAATCTGGATACATGCGTGTATGTATATGGATATGTAGATGGGTACATCATTACACAGTGTGTCTACACATGGAAACATATAGAACACACACACAGCCACTTCTATGGGTGTTGAAAGAAAATATTCAGGAGCTGGTGTGGGTGGCTTGTGTCTGTAATCCTAGCTACTCAGGAGGCTGAGATAGGAGGATTACAGTTCAAAACCAGCCCAGACAGCAAAGTCCATGAAACTCCTATCTACAATTAACCTCCCAAAAGCCAGAAGTGGAGATGTGCTGGAAATGGTAGAGCGATAGCCTTGAGCAACAACAAAAAGCTCAGGAACAGTACCCAGGTCCTGAGTTCAAGCCCTAGGACCTACACATATATGCGCGCGTGCACACACACATCTGTTTTTCTATCTGTATTACTTGAATTGATTTCAATGAGCATGTCACTTATTGTTTCAAATGTACATTAGAAAAAAAGCTATCTGCCCTACAGGTAGAAACCCTATGAAGGATAAAAAGAGCAGCCCAAAGCATCATTCTGTTAAATCCTGCCAGTGTCTTCCCAAAGAAGGTGACATGTCCTTGTATTGCACACGAGGTGAGGGAGGTCCCACAATGGAGCCACAGCCAAGTGCATTCTGCAGCTTCTACAGGGCAGTATGTCTGCCCCAGTTATGCAAATCAGCCCTGCCCTCGTGATGCCATGGCCCCATTTATGCAACTTCACCTGCTTATCAAACTCGGACTTCAGAGAGTCTTCCGTGAAGATGTGAAAGTGCATCTTCCTGTGGCTAAAGAGCACGGCTGATTTGAGCATGACCAGCGTCTCCTCCAGCCGATTGCCACAGGCCACCACGGCCAGATGGATCCAGAGTTCACGTGGGAGCACAGCATGGAAACTCCTGGCTTCTCCCGGCCTCCTAGAAAGAAAGAAAACAAGATAAAGCTATAACTAAACTCAGAGAGGAAAATAAACCAAAACAAAACCAACAACACATAGAGCTAATGAATAGCTGGAACATTTCAAAACAAGAAGCAGGCACAATCTGTTCTATTTTATAAAGTGATAAGCATTTTTGACAATTCTTCCTGCTTAAGAGCAAAAGAAATACCATTGATTCCCATATTTATCCTGGCAACAAGAGGATGAGTCACTGTTTGGATGGCTATAGGTGTCTGGGACTTTCTGCCAGCTCTCAGCTCTCTCGTGCCTGCTGGCTGCCTACTGGCCCTTGTTTGGAAACAGCATTGCTAAGCTTCCACAGCTGCTACAGGGCTGTGGCACTCCCTCCTGCATAGGCCATGGAAATTAGATTTGGTGTAACTTGAACAGGAGGAGGGTGGGTTGGGGCTTTCCCATGTGAAACAGGCAACATGATATTCTCAGCATCTGGATGTTTTTAGGGTGTGATGGAAGGCATGAACACTGGGGGCAAAGGAAAACAGTGCAAGTGTGGGAGGTGAGCAGAGAAGACAATGAATGCACCTCCCTGCCCCCACCCCAGTACATACATCTCAGGAGGCTTGAAGAAACGCATGTGAATCCTAATGGTCTCACCAAAGAACGGGGGGCAGGGGGAGGGTAGGGTGAAAAAATCAGCTTTCAGGATAAAAAAACACCTCCTAATGAGACACGGGCAGGGGATGGGGCAGGGTTAACCTGCACATGATCAAGGTATCGAATACTGAATCAACAGCTGGGAGGGTAATAAGAGTCCAGCTATTTCCTAGGAATAAAAGATTTGTTCCAGACAAGGAGATCCAGCCAAGCCTCAAAACACACCACGGAGAAACATTTGCAGGCAAGCTGGGGGAAGCTGGCCTGGAAAAGGTATCTTGAGACAGATGAAACTAATTTACTTGCACAAAAGATTTGGAGACCAGGAGAATTTGGATGTCAAACGTTACCCTCTTTTCCAAAATCTCAGAGTTCAATCTTCACACAGCTCCGTTATTCGCTGCTCTGTTGAATAATGCTCTCCATCTCCACTCCAGGTTTCTTTCACCAGAGGAAAGTTGAAGATGTGGGTGGAGCCATCTGGAAAGCTTTCCCATTTGATTACTTCAGAGCACGCTTAATAGAATCTCTGCTCCATAGCTCACCCAAGTCCAGATGTGGCGCGTGCATTACTGAGACTCCACCAACTTTGAGGATCACAGAATGGCGGCATTCTTTGGACCCTGTCCACTTCTTTTCATTCCCTTGCCATTCATTGCCTGCTGTGGCCACTGTCTCCTCTCACCTCAGCCACTGTGACTGCTTTCTTGGTGGCCCAGCCTGAGCTGTAATCCCCACCCTACATGATCTCCACAATGATGATGTGCTAAGGCAAGATCAAGTCCAATCTGCTGTTCCTAAGTACATCACTTAGAATGGCCCACAGCCCCTCCTACATTGATGGCCATTCATAACAGTCATAACCACACTTTTTCCCTTGTTCTGTCTCACTTGCAAGCTGGCTGTGTTGGTTTTAGATCTTCACATGGGCTCCTTCTTTCTTTCCTTCCTTCCCTTCCTTCTTTTTCTCCCTCCCTTCCTCCTTTTCTCCCCTCCTCCCTCCTCATCTTCTCTGTCTGTATCTGAAATGTTCTCTTGCTCTTTCCTTTGCTAACCAAAGCTCATATATAAATCAACATCTTTACTAAAAACGTATTAAGTGTGTCATTCTAGAATGACAGCAGTGAACAACACACCTCCCCCAAAGGAGCTGCAGTCTAGAGTAGAAGAGTAAAGAGAATGAAGTCATTGTCAAAGGTCTGGCAGCTAAGTCACTTGTACAAAAAGTCAAGAGTGAGACACAGAGCTGAGCAAGATGGGGCCTAAATAATAAGAAAAAAAAAGAAACCTTCCTGAGAAGTGGAAGGCTGCCAGTAAGTTCAGGGAAGGGAGGAGAGGGAGTGTTGTATGCATCTCTGGATAGTCAAAGTAAAAGCACTAAATCAGGGGTGAGCCTGGGAATCATGAGGACCCCTTGCCTGCATGAGTCATATCCTTGTGGTCTTCCTAAACTTCATGGGTGGGTTGTCACACCCTTGATTAAATTCAACTCCCAATGAACTCCAGTGAAGGGAAAGGAAGGGGAAAAATATGCTATAAAGCTAAAGTGACAATCAAACAAAAATCATCATCAAAACTAATGTGGTAGCTTATGCCTGTAATCCTAGCTACTTAAGAGGTAGAGAGAGATCTGGAAGATCATGGTTCCCAGCTGGCCCAGAGAAAAAGTTAGTGAGACCTCATCTAAACCAAAAAAGGCTAGACATGGCATGTGTCTGTCATCCCAGCTCTATGAGCAGCATAATCAGGAGGATCATCTATAGATTGGCCTCGAAAGTAAGAGCCTGTTTCAAAAATAACCAGAACCAAAAGGGCTAGGGGTATGACTCCAGTGGTAGATTACCTTCCTAGCAAGTTTAAGACCCTAAGTTTAAACTCCAGTGCTAAAAAAAACAAAAGACATCAGCTAAAATTTCCTATGGGAAAAAATCCAGTGTAAACATTTGCTTTAAAAACTTCCCATTGAGGAAAACACAAGTGTGTCTCAGACAGAGACACAACTGGGGCTGGGATGTAGCTCAGTGGTAGAGCACTTGGCTAGCATGCAAAAGGCCCTGGGTTCCATTCCCACCGCAGCAAAAACAAAGGTATTAACGCATTCAACCCCTTAGCTCTCTAAAATATGATCGCCTTCTCCTGCTCCTCCAAACAGAATAAGTCTGCTTAGTTTAATTTTACCTATTGAACTTCCATACAAATAATAAGTTTGAACCTGAGTCATCTTGGAAATAGAAAATTCAGATAATAGAGATTCTGTTTGATTTTCAGACTTCAAAAAATGAAGAAACTACTCTGGGTTTCCATGTGGATACAGGGCAGGGTGCAGCTCCTGTCCTGCTGGGGTCATCAGAAGTCCAAGTACTTTGGAGTCCAAGTACATTTGGCAGTAGTTAGCGAGTGTGAAGATGGAGACACACACTCCTCCCTGCAGATGTCCTCCTCCATGAACAATCGAGAAGCTCTTAAACATCTAAGTCCTGTGCAAAACCCTGCACAGCAGCCCTGTTCGTGATCATAAAAGAGTGGGAGTACTCCAGGAAACGGAAACAAGAGTTGGGTTTTTCCCCCTTTTGTTGATCTGTTTTCTCTTTTCTTCGTCTTGTTTGCATATTTGTCTTGGGGGGCCACAGAAATGGAGGGACAAGGGGTGAACAAATATAGCAGTGGTACTTATTGGACACTATGCTGAAAATGAACTATGCAACTTGTGGGTGGAGATGGAGGGAAAAACTGGGACCAAGCGAGGGAAGGGGTGATATTACTTTTTAAAAAATGTACTCCTTACCTGACTGATGTAACTACAACCCATTGTATATCACCTTTACAATAACAATAAAAAATTAAATACACAATTTAAGAAGATAAAAATACATTTTTTTAAAGATTGGATATAAATTTCACTATGCATGCAAAGGAAAACCATGAACATACTTTGACATGTTAAAGAATGGAATACTGTATAGCAATGAAAAGGAATGGCACATATCAGCATTAGGTCCAAGAGAGAAAGGAAAAAAGAGCAGTTTGTAAGAGAATAGCAGTGGAATGATACCATTTAAATGAAGTTTAAAAACAAGCCAAAGCTGGGCACCAGTGGCTCACACCTGTAATCCTAGCTATTCAGGAGGTTGAGATCGGAAGATGATAGGCCAAAGCTAGCCTGGGCAGACAAATCTCCAATTAAACAGGAAAAAGCTGGAAGTGGAGTCATGGTTCAAGTGGTAGAGGGCCAGCTGTGAGAAGAAGGAGAGAGAGAGAGAAAGAAGGAAGGAAGAGAAAGAAAATAAAAGACAAAGAACACAATTTATTTGTAGACATATTTAGTAAAAGTATTATACACAAGAATAAAAATCACACAATACAAAATGGTAATTACTTCTAGGGACTCAAAACTGTATTCAAGTTGAGTGGGCCACGAAAAAACCTTTTTTTTTTTTCTTGTCAGTCATGGGGCTTGAATTTAGGGCCTGGGTACTGTCCCTGAGCTCTTTTGCTCAAGGTTAGTGTTCTACCACTTTCAGCCACAGTGCCACTTCTGGTTTTCTGGTGGTTAATTGGAGATAAGAGTCTCACAGATTTTTCTGCCCAGGCTGGCTTTGAACTGTGATCCTCAGATCTCTGCCTCCTGAGTAGCTAGGATTACAGGTGTGAGCCACCAGCACATAGCTCAGAAAACATTTTTTTAATTATATGTTTTAGTTCCAGTGATGCCCAAATTGTTGAACAAATGTTTATATCATTTTCAAGAAGCTCATAAGCTGGATATATATCCCAATGGATATAGAGCTACGCCTAGCTAATCTAATATAGGTAACCACCTGAGTTCCACCCCCAGCACCAAAATAAGAGAAAGCACACGTGCACATGCACACACAACACACACACACACACACACACACACACACACACACACACACACACACACACACACTGCAGCACAGCAGGCCACTCCTTCCTAGGCTTGCTCCAGTGGTATGGATCTGTAGGGTACAGAAAAGCAGGGACCTGCCTGCCAATGCAATCCTTCATGATGCCTGCTGACAAGTTCTGAAACAGGAAAGGAAAAGCCAGCCTCAGCTGGTGGCAGGTATGTGTCCGTGCCAGGGATTCAATGAGGCCTTTGTGGGCTCCACTCTCTTCTCTCTCTGATTACATACACTTTGGGCTCCTGGGAATGAGCACTGGTGTTGCAGGGTCACGTGAAGGATAAAGCTGAGGGGTGTTGGAATGGTGTGCCTTTCACCAGCTCCTACTGACAACACACTCCACTCAGCAGCTCTCAAATATCACCTGGGGCTGAGCCAGGACTGGGAAGTCTAGTCCAGGAGCCTGGGACTTCATAACCCTGGAATCCCTGAGTTT